ATCCCGCTGGGATAGGGATTTTACCGGGAAGGGGATCCCGCTGGGATGGGGATTTTACCGGGAAGGGGATCCTGCTGGGACCGGGATCCTGCTGAGACGGGGGATCCCACCGGGACCGGGATTCTACCGGGAAGGGGATCCCGCTGAGACCAGGATCCCGCCGGGACCGGGATGCTGCTGGGACGGGGATCCCACCGGCACAGGGATCCCACCGGGACCGGGATGCTGCTGGGACGGGGATTGTACCGGGAAGGGCCCGGAGCGAGCGGGCCCGGCGAGGAAACGAAAGCGAAAGCTGCGGGGAAGCGGCGGGGCCGCCCCTGCGGCCGCCTCCAGCCAGTCCGGGACACGGAGCGCCCTGGCCGGCTGGGAATGTGGGGCTGGGAATGTGGGGCTGGGAATGTGGGGCTGGGAATTGTGGGGCTGGGAATTGTGGGGCTGGGAATTGTGGGGCTGGGAATTGTGGGGCTGGGAATGGGCACCCGGAGCGCTCTGCCCGGCTGGAATTGTAGGGGTGGGAATGGGCACAGCGAGCAGGAACACGCGGGGACAGGGACACGCCGGGAGAGGGACGTGCAGGGACACGCAGGAACTTGGACACGTATGGAGAGGAATGTGGACTGGGACAGGCAGGGACAGGGACACACATGGACACACAGGGACTGGGACAGGGACATGCAGGGAGAGGGATACACAGGGACAGGGACATGTAGAGAGAGGGACATGCATGGAGAGAGGGACATGAAGGGACAGGGACATGGACATGGACTGGGACACACATGGACACAAAGGGACTGGGACAGGGACGTGTAGAGAGAGGGACACACATGGACAGGGACATGCAGGGACAGGGACACGCAGGGACTGGGACAGGGACATGCAGGGAGAGGGATACACATGGAAAGGGACACACGTGGAGAAGGGCAGGTGTGGAGAGGGACACACATGGACAGAGACACACAGGGACTGGGACACGCAGGAATTGGGACAGGGACGTGTAGAGAGAGGGACACACATGGACAGGGACATGCAGGGACAGGGACACGCAGGGACTGGGACAGGGACGTGTAGAGAGAGGGACACACATGGACTGGGACACACAGGGACAGGGACACACAGGGACAGGGACACGCATGGAAAGGGACACGCATGGACAGGGACGGGGACACACGTGCAAAGGGACACTCCCAGACAGGGAACACTGCTCTGGACACCCCGTGCCAGCCCTTCCTCATCCTCCCAGGCAGGAATTCCATCCCAATGTCCCCCCTGGCCAGGGACACCCCCAGGGCACCCCACAGGCTGTGCCTGCACAGCTGCCCTGGCCCCAAAGTGCCCCGTGTTTGGGGGAAAGCTGCAGCAGGGAAATGTCCCTGTGTGTAATTTGGGTATTAAAAACCTCCCAGCCCCAGAGAAAGGCACCTCAGCAGGGAGGAAAAATGATATTGACTTTGATAGAAACATCACCCATGCTTTATTCTTATTTTTCATCATTAAAACCAGTCTCCAGCCTTTAAAGCACCACTGCTGCTCTAAAATTTAACAGGGTAATCATCACAAGCCATAATTCATCAGGGACAAAAGCAAGACATTTACAGACTTTGTCTTTAGAGTGTAAAAATCTGATTTATTTTCTGGGCTTTAAAACCTGCAGTTTCTCACTACTCCTTATGAGAATTTTAAGCTTTTTCCTTTTTAAGGATTTATTTCTCTGTAATTATCAGTGAGATGCAGTTGAAATTAATGACATTTTTTTACCTTTCTCAGGGCTTTCCCCCCTTTCTTTTTAAGATGTCTGGTCTTATCAAGTTTTTGAGAGGTGCTGAAGTGCACAATCTCCATCAGTTCTTCAGCACGACTTTGTTTGAAGTAATTATCATTATTTTACAATGGTCAGGTAATCAATCCCTGCCTTTGCACGCCCTAAACAGTGAGAGGTGCTACAGTCCCACTTATCTCACTCGACAGCAAATTCAGAATAAACTGTGGTGTTTGCAGCCTTTTAATCTTCCACATTCAACTTTTATCCATTGCCAATTAACAGTTCGTCTGGAATAATTAACAGTTTGGCTGGAATGACAAGCCCTGAGGTATTTTTGCAGTGCACTCTCCTTTCCCTACACATCAAGATGTCAAATAAATTATTTTCAATGCCAGGCTCATGTTTGGAGTTCAGATTGTTGGGGCCAAAGCATTTCAGAGCTCCCAAGGGTGGCAAAAGTGCAAAGTCAGAGGAGGATTTGTTTTCCAAGGATGACAGGAGAAAAGGAAAAACATTTCTCCTTGGAAAATTACTTTCTCCAAGCCCTCCCAGCTCACCAGATCCCTCAGAGCTCTTCCCCCCCAGCACTGCTACAAATCCAGGCACAGTTTCAGCTCAATCCTTGGCTGAAATAATTTAAAACCACCAAAATCATGAATAAAAACCAGGAAAAATTTAATTGCAGAAACAAATATTAAAGTCAAACAATAAAGCAAACTCTGAACTGGCAGAAGTTGTACAGTTAAAGGCAGCAAATGGCAGGGCATTTCTTAAGTGCAATTTCTTGGTTTTGCACCCCCCCATTTTCTATTTTAATTCTATCACTAATTTGATAAAAATATCTTTTATTAAATTACTGGATAAAATTCCTTTTTTTTTGTTTATTTATGAAATTACAGTATTGTTTCAGGTACTTGAGCTGTCTCAGAGCCACCTTCTGAAGCTCTGGCATTTCAACAAAGCAGGACTGTGAGGAGGCTTGGATTGAGATTAAATATGGCTTTTGTATCCAGCATGTAAGAAATAATCCACTCATCCCACTCTGGAGTATTCTAAAATCTGCAAGGTATAAAATATGCAAAGTTGCAGAAAACCTGAGGCTGCTGAAGGTTTGGTCTGTGCATTTCATCTGGAACACAGGCAGGGAGTTGTGCTGATTTCCTATGCAGATGAGACAAATCAGAAAGAAATTCCTCTTTTACAACAACTACACAAACCCCTGTGAGGAACAAAACCTCAGAAGTTCATGAGTTCCCTGTGATTTCTGAGGTGGCATTCTCAGTATCTTCCTCAAAACAAACATAGGCTGCTCCTCTGGAGATGTATTTGATTTTCTCTATCTCCCCCCCACCGTTGCTTGGTTTTTGGAAATGAATTTCAATCATGTCCTGCACACTTTCTTCATCCTCTTCCACCTCTGGGATTCCTTTCAGCAGAATGGTTTTTTTGGAAACCCTGCAGTAAGGCTGGGGAGGAAAGAACAAAGCTGGGTTACACAACAGCTGAGCTGATTCCAAGGAACTGGGAGAGATGGGGATGGAATTCCTCACTCAGGTGTGGATGGGATCTTTGGAGAGTAAAAATCTCCCTGCAAAGAGCAGGAATTCCGGATTCACACTACAATGAAGGGTCTGGAGGGGCCATGGAGGAGCAGCAGAGGAATTTGGGCACTTGGAGGAGACTGAGGGGAGCCTGATCCCAGTGTGGAGCTCCCTCTGCTCTCTGGGAGCACAGGAAGAACGGCTGGAGCTGGGCCAGGGATTTTTAGGTTGGATTTCAGGGAAAGGTTCTTCCCCCAGAGGCTCCCCAGGGAATGGGAACATTCCCAGAGCTCCAGGAGTGTTTGGACACAGCAGGGATGCCCAGGCTGGGATTTTGGGGTGCCTGTGCAGGGCCTGGAGCTGATCCACGATCCTGTGGGTCCCTCCCAGGCTCAGGAGATTCTGTAATTCCACGATTCTGAGCCCACACCTTCACTGCTGTGTCCTGCACTCCCTAATTCACCCACACTCTGGATTTGGGGATCTCTGATGACTCCAGCCAGCAGCACCCCATAAAATCCCTGCCCCACAGAACCCTGCTGGGTGCCTGCACACTGCAGCCCACGCCTTAATTACAAAGGCTTAATTACATACACAGCACTGAGCTGATCACCTTTACTCATTAACAGCCGGAGGGAGAACACGACGAGGCAGCTCTGTGTGACAGAGTCACTGTTTGGGCCGAATGAAGGAGTGAAATCAAGGAATGAATGAGCAAATTTGCATTTGCTGGGACTCTGGGATCCTGGCAGGGCTTTGACTCGAAGAACTTTGTGTTTAATCTCCTTCCCAATCAGCCCAGCACAGGCACGAGGGGAGTGCTGAGATAATTCCATCAAGGAAAGATAAGCACAGCGTTTAAAAGGAAATTGCAGCTTCCACACTGCAACACAAGAGCTCAGCAGCCTATTTCACACCCACACCCCCGGGTAAATTCACACAAAAGGACTCAGCAGTGAAAATTCTGCCCATTCTCCCCCTTCCCACTTATCTCTTTTATCAGCTTGGAGTAGATTCTTTTACCTGAAACTTCCTCAACTGAACATCAAAATCTGGGGAGACACAAAGGTTGAAGCACCTTCCCTCTGCATAGAAGGGGTATTTGGAACATCCCACAAAGTTCTTGCTTGCTGTAAGAGAATAAGAAAAAAAAAACCCCCAATTAATTATTTAACATAATTTAACCAATGTTTTATAAACATTTCAAAGAGCAGACTCCTCTTTCTGGATGTAGAAACTAATGTAAGTTTGCACACTTGAAGATTCTTCATGTGCATTCTGCAAAAAGCTTATTTGGCATTTCCAAAAAAAAAAAAAAAAAATCATTAAATGCCCACAAAAGCTCTGAAATAAATCTAAAGCAGCTGCTCTAAGTGGATGTGGCTCCACTGATCATGGAATTCCATCCAGTTGGGCAATGGGAATGTCTGTCCAACTTCACTGTCGTGCAACAGGAGTTAAAATCAAACACATTTTCCTGATTTTCTGTTTGCAATGTGAGTGTCTGGCAACGCAGAGGAAAAAAAAAAAAACAAAAAAAACCCAGGTTTTTTTTGGAAAAGTTCTGAAAGGAAGCTCATGAGCCGTGAGCAGGTTATGTTTGCTCAGAAAGGATGGAATGAAAAACTTCTTTATTTACCCACATCTCTGGGATCCAGGAATTCCCCGTGGGAAGAGTTTACAACACTCAGTGGTTCAGGATGGACAATTTGGCCTGAATTGGGATGAGAAAATATTTTCAGACTTTACCTCCAGCTTTGAGGAATGTGATGACAGCTGTCCCAGCCCCTTTGTTGTAGGTCACATTTTCTATTTCTCCTCCTCCTGCTGCCTGCTCAGTTTTGTAGAAACTCAGCTCAAGTTTGTCTCTCATCCAATCTTTAGGAATGGGAAGCTCAGGGATTTCTGAAACGTTGATCTTCTTTCCAGAGACAGTGACGTGGAGCTAAAAATACCAAATTTTTGTGCATTTTGTGACTGAAAGCACTGGGAAAAAAAAAAAAAACCAACCTAAAGCTTTTAAAGAATTCAGATTTTTTAGTGTTGCATAGTTCAGTTGTTTACCTCAAACCGGAATCCTATGTCAAGTTCAAAAGGTTTCACTGCCACATTTGCTGTTCTGTTGTCCAGGTTCACACAGTGCTTGCTCATCTTTGTCAGTCTCTGGGCAACTGAGGGAAATCAGATATTAAAAGCTTGGTTTAATTATTGGAAACCCCAAATTATTGCCCAGTCTCTTAAGAAAAAATCTTTTGCATCAGTAAAGGAGAAATAAATAATAATTAGGCAATAAGATCCCAAGCATCCATGTCTATTTCCATAAAAAAATGTGGTTTTATGCAGGCCAAATAATATAATAACAAACTATTATATCAATAATAATATTATTGTTAAAATAATACACAATAACTACAGCAAACATATTATTAATTATATACATAAAAATAGATTTTGAGGGGGAACAGTACAACTTTTAAACTGTCAAAAGATGCTTTTATTTTATAAAATATTAACACAAGATTTTTTCCCATTCCATTCAAAATACCCTTAAGGGAAAACCACACCACTCCCAGGTGAAACACATCATTAATTTTATAATTAAAATACACACCCTACCTTCCTCATCTTCAAAAGTCAGCAGTGCCTGCTTCTGATTGAGTTTGAAGGGGATTTTTGTGGTTGCCCTAAAAACACAGTGGGTGTCCATATCCACATCTGCCCCACCATCCTTCATCTCTTCCAGGTGAGTGAACTTCAATTTCATTTCTGCCACCTTCTTTTGAATCTCCAATTTTGGAATTGACACAGGAAAAAGAAAACTTGAAAATCACCAGTGCTATGAGTAGTTTTTATTCCACTGCTTTCCATTTAATTAATGCTTGTTTTCACTCCCCTCACACTTTCAGTACCTCTTGGATTTATTTTCCATATCCTCTGCCTGCTTCAAATTGTCTTGCCAGGGTAAACAGGAAATTTTCAGATTTATTTTATAATGAAATTAATAGAGGATCAAATGCTGAGCAAGTGGCCCCAACAATCTAAGAGGGACAAATTCAGGGGAGGCTCAGGATTCCCAGAGCAGCTGTGGCTGCCCCTGGATCCCTGGAATTGTCCCAGGCCAGCCTGGACAGGGTTTGGAGCAGCCTGGGACACTGGAAGGTGTCCCTGGGGTTTGAGATGGGATTTAAGGTCACTCCCAACCTAAGCCATTCTCTGAAAAGAAAAATCTGCCCTCCTAAAAGACAAATTTCCAAATATTTCACCCCCATTACCGAATTATCCTGGGAACTGTATTCTTTCAGGTCTTCCTTGAGCTTTTCAATCCCTTTTTTCAGCTCGGTGTTTTCTTGATTTAGCAGGAGGAGTTCCCTCTACAGGCCAAAAATATAATGCAGAAACGCAGAATTAAACACTTTATTAAAGACAGAAATTTCTGCAGAAATGCAGAATTAAACACTTTTAATAAAGACAGAAATATATTTCAGCAAGATCTGGCCAGTTTGTGCCATTCTGCTGCTCTTCCCTCTTCGTGTCCTTCTCTTTCCTCCTGCCTGCTCTGTAATTCCTGCACAGCAATGAATCCTGCTTGGACACAAAGCTCTGTAAGCAAATCCAGGATTCTCTGGACAGGGAATGTGACAGGATGTGGCTCCAACCAGCCACAATCACAACTTGAATCCTGTCAAGTCAGCAGCCACTGGAGACACTTGGATCACTTCCCATCAGCTGAAGGCCAAAACCTGATGGAGATAATGACCCTTCCTGGCTATAAATTCAAACTTTTATGATTATAAAGTACCAAAATCAGCTTGTAGAAAATCTCTCACCAACCTGAGTGTGTTTAAGCTGTTAATTGTATTTGAATAGCTTGAAGCCATAATTTCTCAGCAGTGATTTGTCAAAGCTCACTGAAAGCACCTCCCTGGCAGCCTGAGGAACCTCCTGCTGTCCCTGCACGTGGAATATTGAGGGAATGAACCAAGGGGCTCTGGAACCAAGCAGTTCCAGAAGGAAAAACCCTCTTCAATCAAGGCCTGCCTCTTGCCCAGCTCATTGGCACCTAAAAAATCCTGATCCTTTGGGTGCTGTGACCTCCCATAGAACAGGGAGTTGGAAAAACATTGAAATCACTGAGTTTTATCCACTTCACCCAGACCTGAAACTCATCTGGAGGGGAGAATTTTTGCAAGAGGAAGATTGGTTTTGTCAGGTTTCATCCCAAAATAGATTCTGTTTATTGCACTCTTTGCCTGCCAGTAAAAAACTAAAGCAGCAAAAAAACCAGTGTGGAACATTGTGGACCAGTACAACCTGCACACTGGTAAAAACCACTAAAACTGGGAATATTCCTCTCATTTTCCTAATGCACACCTCTTCCCAACCCTTCTCCATACCTCAAAGTTCATCATTCTGTCCTTATGCTGCTTCTCTTGCTCCTTCAGCTCTGTCAGCTTCCTCTCTGCTCTGTCACGGTCTTCATCAGCAATTAATTTGGAGAGATGAACGTCATGCTTTGTATTTTCAGCTTCTTCAACTCTTTTCTGGACAGCAAAAAGAGAAAGATTTGAAATTTTGGAAAAGATTTAGTTCTACAGGGACGAACAAAACCTTGAGTCAGCCCTTTGTATTTGTTTATTTTTAACACTTTGGGTTAATATTGAACTTGCAAGAGTGGGATTAACACAAGCACAAAGCATTGAAGAACAGAATAAATTAAAGATGTCATAAATGTGGGGGATCTGATCTGATTTTAGAAGGATACATTAATTTTAGCAATTTTCCATGGTTTTCCATGTGCTGTACAGAACTTGCCTTCCACATCTTCAGCTCTTCCTTGAGTTTTTCCATCTCTTCCTTCCCTTTTTCCATCTCTTCCTTGGATTTCCCTTGTGGATCAGAGGGCACCAAACTCTAGAAGAGAGAAGAGGAACACATTGCTTTTCTCCTGTGTTGGGCAACAAATGAGACACCCCAAATAATTAAAAAAAAAAATTAAAAATTAAAAAGTTCGAACAAAAAATTTAAAAATATAATTCACTTAGGTCAAATCACTGAATTATTTTAATGGCTGGACAAGACAAAAATCCACAATAATGTGAATTACTGGCCAGCCATTATTATTTACTGATTATCCAACTGTTAAAATCCACAGGTTAATATTTAGCTAAATAATAAATTGTTGAGTTTTTCATGGGTCTGGGCCTTCAAAGAGACAAGAGCAGTTGTAAAGTTATTTATTGCAGGAATCCACCAGTCTCAAAGGCAAAGAGTTCAGAGTATTAAAGTCTGTGCCAGAAGCTAAAAACTAAAAACTTTCTGGTATGGAGCCCTGAGCAGAAGGAGCAGCTCTCCCACCTTTCCTTTCAATCTTTCTCTTTTTTCTTCTTTTCTTCTTTTTCTTTCTTCTTTCTTCTTTTTTTTCTTACTCTAATACAGGGGGATTTTATTAATAAATCATCCAATCAGCTAAAAACACGACTCTAAAACATTCTTCCTCCAACTACCAGAGCTCAATTCTAAAGTACTGAAGTAGTGTCAGTCCTCACACATAATTTACACAAATAATCTTATTTATTCATGTAAATGGCTGTGTTTTATCTAGAAATGCCAGCAATGGTCTGCTATGTTTTCATTATGTCTGGAGCTAAATTACTGAACTTTAGGGCTTTTTACTCTCTTAAGGCACTTAAAATATATTCTTTAAACTTACACTCCTACTTCATGTTTGTGTGGTTTAATATATTTTAATTTCTCTAAAGGCTTTAATTCAATCCCTGCATGATTTTCTGTCTCTGAGGGACTCACAGAGGCTTCTATTTTACACACTCCAACAATGCACTTAGGTCAAATCATTGAATTATTTTAATGGCTGGACAGGACAAAAATCCACAAGAATGTGAATTATTGGCCAGCCGTTATTATTTGCTAATTATCCAACTGCTAAAATCCACAGGTTAATATTTAGCTAATTAATAAATCAAGTTGTCTCCACGTTCTTCCACACAGAACTAAACCCCTCCAACCCACTCTGTGCTTTCTCAGCAGCTCCTCCAGGAGGTGTCAATACAAAAAAAAAAAAAAAAAAAAAAAAAGTGAAAATGGGATTTTGATCTTTCAGGCTCAGGGAGATTGGATTATAAAAGTTAATAACAAGGAAGGTGATAAAAGAATCATTTCAGGATGGAAATTCAAGGCAGAAGTTCACAAGGGCAGGGAAATAACAAAGCCCAAGGAGAGAGAGAAGCTCTGTTATGTTCTGTTTCTATGGCTGCAATGTTCTGCAGAAAAAAAAAAATAAATCCAAAGAGATCTGATGAAATATTCCCTCCCTTTTTACTCAGGATTACATAAAGCTTGAATGGGAACCATGAAATTTAGTCATGGAAAGATCTAAATTACGCAATACATGAAAAATATCTGAATTAGATGATCAAGTTCTCTTGGAAATGCTAGGTATTTCCTAAAAATAATAAAATAGAAAGTATTTCTTCCAGTTTCAGATTAAGCAATGGGGAAATACCCATCTGTGTCTTAGTTAAAATGAGAAAAATATTCCTTCACTCCAGGGATTGAGTGGAGGGAATACAAAGGATGCACGTGCCAACAGCTGGAAGATAATAAGAAAAAGGAGGCCTGATTTTTACTAAGAAAAAAATGGTTTCACACAACAGTTTCCATCCTGAAAGAAGGAAAAAAAAATAACCAAGAAAACACAAGAAACACGTGCACTGCTGGAGCTGAATCCCAGGAAGAGGGAAATTCCCCAAAATCCTCCACAAACAGATGAGCAAGAGAGGCAGGACAGAAAGTTCTGAGAGTTCTGTATTGCACAATCTTGGGAATGGGATTCTCCCTATGGAAACAGGGGGTGGAAATGAAGAATATCCCAAGTATTAAAGGGTGGAAGAAGGTGAGACAAGCAGGAGCACTGGGAGCACAAACCTTCAGTCAGAGATACAAAAGTCAAATACAGATTTTACTCCCAGGCCGAGGAGTAAAATTTTGAAATACTTACAAAACCATTGTCTTGTAGAGATAATGGGGGGCTTGTAAAATCCATAGAAACCTGAAGGAACAGGGGGAAAAAAATGACAACGTTGTGTGTATTGTTTGGGGATTTCTTATGCAATAGAATATCAGGAATACCAGAAGCTGTGCTGAGCTGAAAGAATTTTTCAACATAAATGTATCATTTCCTAGGCAAAAGTGACAGATATTTGGTATCTGAAGCCTTATTACCTTAATAGGAAATAAAAGCCAGAGACAGATGTGAGGAATTCTGCAGTGCACACTCAGCTTTGCTGTTCTGGTAGTTCTGTATTTCCCTTTATGCTCCTTTTGTGCTGTTACACACCTGAGAACAAACCTGTATATTCTGTGCTTGAGAGCCTGGAGAAAAGGGGAGCTCAGAGCCCCTTCCAGAGCCTGAAGGAGCTCCAGGAGGGATTTGGGACAAGAGATGGAAGGACAGGACACAGGGAATGGCTTCCCACTGGAAAAAGAGGAGATTTGGGTGGGTATGGGGAAGGAATTCCTGGCTGGGATGGAATTCCCAGAGAAGTTGTGAATGCCCCTAGATCCCTGGGAGTGGAAAGAGGAGATTTGGGCGGGATATTGGGAAGGAATTCCTGGCTGGGATGGAATTCCCAGAGAAGCTGTGGCTGCTCCTGGATCTCTGGCAGTGTCCAAAGCCAGGCTTGGAGCAGCCTGGGACAGGGAGAGGTGTCCCTGCCCATGGCAGGGGTGGGATGGGATGAGATTTAACCCTTCCAACCCAAACCATGCTGGGATTCTAGAAAACCTGCTTAACCCAAATGGAAACATTTTCACACAGCGGATCATCTAAAATTTGGAATCCGTCGCCACAACACTTTGTGGACGCTGACAAAAAGGAATTTGGGGAATTTCCCAGGCCGCTGGAAATGCAAATGTGCAAATGCTCCTAAGCCAATCTGTGGCTGCCAGGGTAAGGTTTGATCCTGGAGGATTTAGGTTGGATATTCCACAGGTCAGAGCACGAGATCCCAGCAGAATATCCCAAATTCCAGACCCATCCGAGGAGTTCTCACCCTCTCACCTGGGAACCCTCGCCTTGTTTCTGACCCTCCATGCCGAACGTGGTTCACTCACAAGTTTGAAACGGAGCTTATGGATCCCGCTTTCTGGTTTGGATCGAGCAGCCAAAGTTCACAGACTCCTGTATAGTTTCCTGGAGATTAAAAAAAAAAAAAAAAAAATTTAAAAAAGGAAAGTGAAAGCATAAATGAATAATGGCTTCGTCCGCGACTCCTCCGTCGCGGGGCTCCCTCAGCGCTCACCTCCCGACGGATACGGCCGGGGAAGGGCAGGGGACACGGCCGGGGAAGAGCAGGGGACACGGCCGGGGAAGGGCAGGGGACACCACCCGGGGGTCCAGCAGCTCCCGGCGGTTCCTCCGGCACCTCCCAAGCCCTTCCAGCGCCGCCTTTCGCTTTCGCTTCCCGGCCGAGCACGAGGGAGGAGCCGGAGCCCGGCCAGCCCCTCACGCAGCCCGGGCAGCCACGGCGGGAGCCGCCGCCGTAACCGGGGCCACCTCGGTGTGTCCGTGAGGTGTGAGGGAGGAGGGACCGGCACTGCCGCCCCTCAGCCGAGCCCTGCTGACACTCACGGGCACAAATGTGGAGAAAACGGGGAAATCTTGGGGAGAGAAGAGCTGGGAAAGGGGCGATGGAGCAGCGCCCTCAGGGCGGCCATGGCCTCAGGGCGGAGCCGCTGCTCGCCCGTCCCGCCTGGGCCCATCTGTGAAATAAAGTGACACAAACTTATTTGTGTCTTTATTTACTTGTAATTCTCTGGGATTACCTGTTGTATTATAAAGGATATGGTTTTCTTCTGTGGGGAAAAAAACATCGCCTCAGGGCGGAGCCGCTGCTCGCCCGTCCCGCCTGAGCCCGGCTCTGAAATCAAATTTACTGACACAAACTTAGTGCACTCTACTGAATGTCTTTGTATAGTTATTTACTTGTAATTTTCTAGAATTATGTGTTGTATTATAATAAAAATGGTTTGCTTCTGTGAGAAAAAGCCATCACCTCACGGCAGAGGTGCTGCTCTCCCATCCCGCCTGCACCTGTCTGTGAAAGCAAACTTACTGACACAAACTTAGTGCACTCTGCTGAATTTGTTTTTATACTTAATAACTTGTAATTTTCTAGAATTACGTGTTGTATTATAATAGAAATGGTTTCTTTCTGTGGGAAAAAGTCATGGCCTCACGGAGGAGCCACTGCTCGCCCGTCCCACCTGGGCCCACCTGTGAAATCAAGTGACACAAACTTATTTGTGTCTTTATTTACTAGTAATTCTCTGGCATTACCTGTTGTATTATGAGGGATATGGTTTCCTTCTGTGTTGGAGTGTATAAAATAAAAGCCTGAATCCCTGAGAGAGAGAAAATAATTCAGGGATTGAATTAAAGGCTTTAGAGAAATTAAAATGTATTAAGCCACACAGACATTGAAGTAGTTTTAAGTAAGTAGGAATATACTTTTAAGTGCCTTAAGAGAGTAAAAAGCCTAGTTTAAAGTTCAGTAATTTAGCTCCAGATATAATGAAAACACATCAGAACATTGCTTGCATTTCTAGATAAAACAGGCAGAACCATTTAGGTGAATAGATAGAACTATTTGTGTAAATTATGTGTAAGGACTGACACTACTTCAATACTTTAGAATTGAGCTCTGGTAGGTGTAGGAAGAATGTTTGAGAGGGATGATTTTAGCTGATTGGATAATTTATGAACAAAATCCCCTGTATTGCAGTGAGAGATACAGAAGAAGAAAAGAAAAAAGCAAAAAGCATCGTGGACA